CTCTGAAGATGCGATTTCCGAGAAGTTATGAAACGTCAGAAAATTATTTTCCAACTTCACTGGGATTTCACAAATATATTCCATTTAGGATTATGAGTCTGTCTTGTTGGCCTCTTGTATCGGTAAATTTTGAATCTTTTCGAACTATCTCAGCCGCTGTGTTGGGTGAAAAAACTGTCTTCCGGACCTAAGTCTACCTCGTACGAAAATTTTATTGAAAATCTATAATTGTTCTTAGTTAATGACTGTTTTTTAGGTCTACGTAGTGTTACGCATGAATTGAATTTTTCTTCACATTTAGATGGTTCCAGCAGATGTAATGATATTCTTATGGTATTTATGTCTATTTCTGAAGAGGAGTCGTAACTAAGATGTATGTAGCAAGGTAATTCTCTTTATATGTGACTTTCGAGTTCTCAAAATTCGGCAGCTAACGTTTTCTACAAGATAATCAGTGTATGCACTTAAAGCCCCGCAGTGAAAGCTACAAACTGGAATTAAGTTTTCGCTATTTGTATTGCAGGTTATCGGTAACCCTGATACACTTTCGTTGTTCTCCAGTAGTAACACAAAGGAAATGAAGTGTAGTCCACATAATCTGCAGTGGCAGTATCTATACGGAAAACGTGGAAGAAATATCAAAGCAATGGCCAAAATTTCATAACTAGTGACAGGAGCTTATATAAGTCGATAAGAGAGGAATTTTAAAGTAACATTCACCCATATATTGACATCAGTTGAGGAACCATTAAAAATTCGGAAGCACTTGACAGCTATTTCGTCTTAGTATGGGGCCCCTCAACAGTATCCACCCACGACCCCGAAGGGGATCGAACTCATGACCTTCAGGGTTCGGAATGAACGGGTTAACCATTCAGCCACTGGGTGAGAATTCACTTGTTCACAGTTTCCTACTTCTATCAATTCGCAACATAGCACGACTATTCACGAAGGTCTTCAGTTGTAAACCACTTCACTTCCAATCGATGAACCCTACAAGTCGTGGCTTCTCATTACAACATCGAGATATCCCTCTCGAAACACTTAACTATCTCTTTCATGGTAGTCCCAGGTCCCTGATGGGGTGGTGGGCATGTACTGCATTTCGTATTAGAACGAAAAAGCTGTCCTGTTCAGTGTTTCTGCAACTGATATCAGTCCGTGATGAATACTACGTTAGAAATAAAATCCCCACAAACCTTAAACCAAATAAAAGACTTTCACATGAAATTATGTCTGAATTATACAAAAATAGACAAGTTGAAATGATAAAGTTCAGAGTGCGACAAATTGTATTCGCTATATATTTCTCGAATGTAAATCAGTGAATACATTTGTAGATTCAAAAATAATGAATGTTAAGCGGTTAATAAATGGAAATGAACTGTTTTGAGATTCTTAGTAATCAATTTAGTTACAAAGGAGAACAAGAGAAACTGTTATGAAGAAGATATGCTTTACATGAATAGCAGTCCAGTTTACATGAACATCAAGCATAATTATTCTGTAATCTGTTTGGTGGCAGCTGCACTGGAATTGAGGAAAAATCTTTCATCTTATTTGGTACTCATCAGCTGAATGTGCCTGCACCCTAGTGAGTGATGGTGTTGCTGCTGAGACTCAGTAAATAACAGCTGACATCTGCTACAAAAAAGATGGCTGTCATGACTCAGTGGTTCAAAGGACAACTCGCTGACTTTTAAAGCGATTTGTGCTACTCTCAAGTCTTACTTCAAACACAATTACTCACTTACATGCAGGTATATCCATCTGACCAGTCCCACAGAGAACACACCATACCTTATTAGAACAGCTTTTCACTTAATTTTATAGAAGATGATTTCCTATTTCGTTGTCAACCAAAACTTCATCCCTGAAATGTAACAGACGGAAATCCTTACCATGAATGAAAAACATCTCGGAGATTGTGGCTAGATTACTGAAGCCTATGGGAATCACTGCAGCTCACAAATTTACAAAGCATCTTCACTATGTCTTACAGATCAAGAGGCAGTTATGAAGCAAGATAAGTCCAGTGTTATCTACTATATAATCTGGAGAAACTACGAAAAACACCACATCGGACAGAATGGCGGCCCTCTTCGTGTCCGTCTGCGTGAACATTAACTTGTATCAATTTGGGTAGACATTTGTAGATAAACGTTCTGCAGGGGAAATGTGGGAATCTCGGAGAGGAAAAATACGGGGAATGCCGGAGAAGTTTTAGAAACTAGACCCTCACATAAGCCAGAAATCAATAGATATGTTAACATGGATCCAATCTATGAGCCAAAAAACAACATTAGGAACAACAGTAAGGTCAAAGTTCGCGTCAGCATGACAGCCAATTGAAATGTGTATGGAGACAATGACAAGATAATAGTAGAAACAAGCGATCACATTCAACATCATCAGGGCAAGCTACTAAGCCACTTGTGGAGAAATTTTCATAATTTACTTCCTTCTGAAGATAGTGATGATGCTGTGTCGAGTGATAACTGAAGCTTGATGATTAGACTATCCAGCTCGGAGAAAAAAACACCACCGAATTTGGTTACTGTTGCATGCAATGCGTTGACCGAGTGGCACCAAAGGCTACCCCAGCAGCTAAAGAGATGACCAATCCGGGTTTTATCTTTCACCTGGGAAGGTACTATCCCATGAAATTAAAGAATATATTTGGCTGTATCATCAGTTGTTGGTTTGGCTCTAAGAGTCACTCCGATGACCAAGAGTGTGTTTTTTTTCCAGCTTAAAGAGAGTGATTCTGTTGGGTCGGCTGAAGTTCCATCGTTCTGTATTTCATAAGAAGTTAGTATTACAATTATGATCCTTTTCTTCCCCTAGGTTACTCTGACTCTATAAGTTTCTGTTTGAATTTAGCGACAATACCTATTCATTCCTGTTTTTCAAATCTAGGACAATCTGACGAAATAAAATTTCGAAGCAGATGAACAATACATCCGATAAGTCGGAACTAGCTCTTTCGTCTCCAACTTCCCAATGTGTTGTCTTCTATGTGAAGATTTATTCAACCAGGGGAACAATCCAAGATATTTTCAGATAAAAATATTCTACGTGCACTTTGAATTTGCTTGGCTGCGAAATTTCGTTTGTTAGTGTTGTGAGTATGTATCCAGCAAATGAACAGCAAGTTATCTGAGTGAGAAAAGTGATAGACGAAATAAGGTGCTACATTATCATCCATGATATTCCGAAACAGACACCTACAGATGGACATAAATATTTGTGTATCAGTCCCCGTTATCAGACTTCACGTTTGGCACCAAAGGATGAATTCAGCAAGAAGAAATGTGCAGAAACTAAAATGTACGGCATTCCTATTTAGACGAAGATACGACACAGATGAATTTTTACCACTGCATTTGATCCAATGTGATATTTTGGAACCTGAAATAAGATACCTACTGTGTTTCGGTTAATAAGTACAGAATTGATGGAAAGTATTGCATTATCATTTCTTCATGATAAGACTGTGCATAATCTTATATTTTTCTGGCTATCTGCTTTGCTGTAGACGGTAAGTATTAGGTTATAACGCATTCGGCAGGCACTTCAGTTAGTGCTATTTTGCTATTTCAACTCATTCACTTTACCTATCCGGAAAGCTGTGTAGAGTTTTGTGAACACTTTGAATGGTAATTAGAGAATGTTCTGTATACGTTTCTGACCACTCAAATGCGGAACGCTGTTTCAGTACTGGTATCCATCAGTGCATCATCTTAAAAAAGAGAATAAAGTGGTTAAGCACGCTGATCACTTCATTTACTGGGGAAGCCGCATCACTCCTATGGAGGTTAATGACTGACGGAATCTTTGCAGGAGTAAGAAATGTTTGTTTGGTTTTTCATAACTTATGCAGTATATTTTAGGTTGGGATTTATCATGAAGTGATAGTAGTTGGAGGGACACTGGAAACCCCAGTATGAGACCCCCAAGTACCCACTACCCTGCCAGGGATCAAACCCAGGACTTACAGGTCCCATGGACAGCACGTCACGATGATGAATTCCAAGCTTAAATCAAATAACGAATATCCGCGAACCCCCAGATAGAAATGATCTAGCGCTCATTTGTCACTACCCTCGAGAGGTGATTCCGAAGTTCCAATGAGAAGTCGTGACCAGTGCAGTCGATCATATCGACAGGTACCCAACGACGACGTAAGATGTAGGTCGCGCTATATCGTGAATTCACAGGAATAGGAAATATGGACCATCGGATTGCACCTAGTTGCTCAACGGTAAAACCCTGTTCACGGAAGGCCTTGGGTTCCATCCCTAGGGGGGGGGGAATCATGGGTGCGCATCGCTGAGGAGTCCCATCCTAGGACCAAACAGCTATCCATTCCTCCGAGATTCCCAATGTTTCGTCAACTGATGTCAGTCCACGATGAATTTCAACCTAAAATCAGTTAATTAATCTCCACAAACCTCGAGGTAGAACTATGTAATCTATGATGCCAAGGGGATATTCAGTTGGCCATTAAATGTCAGATGTACTGTGAAGCAGTTCATTCTGTGTTAATTTATAGCTACGAAAGGTAGATGATATGAGAAGGTTGAAGGTTTTCGAACATCACCTTTGTAAGACTGATCCTGGGTTGTGGAGCTATTACATTAATATTGTAATCAGATGCGCAGCCTTGGGGAATTTAGATATGTCAGTTGACTAGCTTGTAAGCCTTCATCGAATTCAGCGACTAGAAAACGCCCTACGCATACTAAGTCACTGTTCACGTTAACAAGTAATGTTTGTAAAAGTAGACTTAGGCTTAAAATCGAATGTAAAAGAGAGCCAGACTAATAAGTGGCATCAGTTGATACGGCCTCAAATTGTTGGTAATACTAGTATGATCGTCATAATTGGAGAAAACTTACTACCCCCTTCATGATATTATGTCATTATTTGTGTTTCTCCGTTAGACTAATCTAGTATAGTTCAGTGTTTCAGTGCGCAACATTTTAAAACACTGTAACTGACAGTAGTAATTGCAATTTTTGACAAAATGATTTTAACAAAAATCTGTCGAAGGTGTTACTAGTGTCTGTGCTAAATAAATTTATGTTTCAGCTCATTGAACATTGAACCATTGCTATGAAATGGCTGAGACAGTTTACTTTTGATAAAAATGATTGAGAGGTAGTTTCAAATGGCTTACACCTGTAGCACGGTCATGTTTATTCAAGATATTAATATTACAGTAGGATTCATGTTCAGGTATTCTTCTATTAGATGATGTACTAAGGTAGGCCATACTTTTGTGTCGATGTAGACTGCCACCACAACATAAAAGACCGTGTGAATAGCGAACCTGTGAACAATAGGAATATACAACACATGGTGACATGCATCTACTAACTCGTCTGTTTGATGATGGTGAATGGTTCACTTTTTGATTTAAATCCCGAGGATTTTCGCGACTTGAAGTTTGATATTTCTCAACATTCACTTTAGTATGATGACAGCTTAATAAAGTAGTAATGGGCTGATTCGAAGTTGACATTACTCGACCGTCTTCATATCTGGAGCCATGACTATGGCTACGTGGTATCATTGAGCAGCTACAGGGAATAGCAGAATGATGTGAGACTGGTGGAACGCACGGATTAGTTTGACAGTAATTAGGAAATGGTGAATGATTACGTTGTGGACTACGGCAAGGGGCAGAGACAGATTGAAATTGTGAATGCTGACGACAATAACTTGATTCCCGACCATTCTTATCAAATTTTTCAGGATATTTGTTACGTATAGGTAAAGTACGTAAATGTAATTGCATATCAACACCATGAGTACCAACATTTGATGGATAGCCAGGACTGCTTTTCATCAAACGAGAGGAGTATCCACTCAGATTTCTGCTGCAAAAAGGCAATGAAAGTTCTGGTAACCGTAAAAGAGTAGTACTAGCTGTTCTAAGGTTGGAAGAAAATAACCGAGGAAGATTCCTCGGAGCCTTTGACTGAACAAATGATGATGAGTCTGTTTGATTAGTTTTAATTTTCGTGGAAGGACCAGTTAATACATTATCCAACTGTAAATTTTTACTGCATGTAGCATCAATTAAGTTCATTTCTTCTTTATCTTGTTCAGAAGAGACCTTAACTGATGAAAACTGACGGTTATCACTTTGATCATCGGGTGATATGTCATGTATTGAGTGTAACTTATATACTGAATCGACAAGAACTGGATCTTTTATTCCCATAGGTTTGTTCTGATCGGAAAACTGAACATGCAGATTTGTCAATATCTGATCATTACTCAATGCTACTTGTGACTTGACTTCAACAGGCGGTTGTTTCGTACATTCTTCAGAATGGTCGAAAGATGTGGCAATCTTGATGATTGGTCTGCTGACTCCAGTCAACTGAGTAGGTGATGTTCCGCATTTATTGACAATTTCTGAAGTCTCAGTACTGTTCTCGTCAGACTTAATTATATTTACTCTCACAGACGACTCAGAAACTTCAGTTTTTTCTAGGGATTGACCCTTAGTGACCTCTTGCTTGTGAAAACTGTCCACTTGTGGGAAAATGTTGTTTTCAATCCTTGATAAATGTATGAAATTCACTTGTCGATTCGAATCTAAAAGTTGACCAGGATCTGTACTCGAAATAGCTGATGAGTACATCCTGTCTAATAGCCTGTCAGATGATGTACTCCTTATGCTCATTTTTTCAACCTCTAATGATTGTGAAAGTTTGTTTGTGATATTTTCCAGCTGTTCATCATTTCTACCATCCAAATAATTCTTGAAACTTTCACTCAGTGTGAAACACCCCTGGGTTTGTTCCTCAAATCTCACGGAAAATTCATTTTGGGTATCAATTGCATTAGCCTTCGGGATTTTCTCTTTTTGAACCAGTTCGTGCATATTCGAAGCTTCATGCCTGTCTATATTGATTGGTTGTAATACTGGTATGGGATCTTTCTGATTAATACTAATATTTACAGGAGAAGTCTTTTGTAAAATCTGTCTGCTTAGTTCTTCCTGAGGAACGCAGGATGGAGTGGTAACATAATTTACTATCTTTAGTTTTTCTGAAGTCATAGTGGGTGACATGAAATGGTGATTTTCATCACTGCTGTCAGTTGCCATAAAAGATGCATCCTGTTTTAAGGTTGAGTGCATAGAATTCAGTTCACGGTCCTTTGTGTTTTTGGAACTCTGTGCCGATGACACGGAATCGACTGCTTCTTTGAGTTGATTTTGTTCCAAAGAATTTGTCACACCAATATTGCATTTAGTCAAATTTATTAGTAAGTTTAGTGGAACAAGGGATGGAGTTGATTCTTGTTTAATATGATAAGGTTGAATGGTCGGTACAGTGACTACCTGAGGCTTTTCGGTAGGAACTTCAACTGATTTGAAGTGTGTTTCTTTGAATGATATCTTGGGAGGTAAACAGGTTAACTCTTGATCATCAATTTCCAGTGAAAGAGGCGGTATATATTCAGGATCCGTATATTTATTACTTTCTACCGAATGAACGAAATCCAAACGATTCATGTTGTCTGTATGTTCCATAGATATTGAAACTTCTACTTGACTAAGATTCCCGAAAACGTCAGCCTTAGTATCAACAGTCTGCTGGTACAATTCATCTTTAACTGAGTCATTCAGAACTTTCATTGAATCCACCGCTTCCAGGGTAGGGACATTGATTGGTGTAAACTGAGTGTTTTCAGGTGTAGTACTAACTGGCGTGCTGGGTAATTCTGGATCTTTCAGGATTTTAAAAGGAGGATCATTAACATATAATTGTGTGCCATTTCTGGTTTCTTCTGAAATACACCAATCCAATGACTCAACTGGTCCTTTAAACTGACTAGTTATTGCATTTTTTATATCATCTATAATTCCCTCGTTGTTTTGAACTGAAAATGATTTAAATTCCTTATTTACTACAACAGGAGGAATCTCCGAAGGATTCACTTCGTGCAGGTGTGTATCTGAAATGGTAAGTTCTACAAACCTATGGCTATGAAGTATCTTGCTGGTTGACATGTTGGATACAAAATCTTTATCATACGTTGGAGGAACAAGATCTGCTTTTTGATTGCTTACTAGGTGATCGCTAGACTCTGAGCTCATGGACTCCAATTTCTTACTCATATCAGTTTTCTGAATAAATATAGAAGTCTCTGAAGTATTCACTTCGGGGCTTACTGGAATTACTGTCTGGACTATGGATGGTTGCACTTCTTTTTTAGATGCATCGGTCTCGGTATCCATGGCTTCACTTGTTTTCAAATTTCGTGCTGGAAGAATAAGCGGAGTAAAATTAGTAAGGTCAGGCTCTTTGGTAACCGGTAAGAAGGATCCCAATTGGTCTTCAGGGACTAAAATAGGTGATGGAGTAGAATGTGAATGAATAGACGTCTCACTTCGAGTTGAATGAACTCTTTCCATTTCGATATTCAGACCTCTGAAGTGAACTGGAAGTGTTGAAGGTGTTTCAGTAATACTTCGTACTACAAATGAGTTAGTAGAAACAACTGACGATAAAATCCCTTTTCTAGATGAGTTTAAGGAAATATTAGTAAGGCTTGGCTTTTGTGGTTCAGGTGTGTGTGTTTCAATCACTTGGAGGGTGTTAACATCGCTTGAATATTTTTCGTCTGATTCATGTTCAATAATGATATTTTGTTCCTGTTTTGATAAAAACTCTTTTATTTCACGTTTAAAATTATTCTCATCAGATGAGATTTTCGCTAAATGTTTCTGGGACAGTTGAGTTTCATTAAAGTATGGTTTTCTTATTTCACCATCAAATTTAGCATCTAAAACTGGTTTATCAATCGGTTCGTTAGACACAGATTTTTCAGTGGATATTTCAATTGTTATAAACTTGTCTAAAGAATATCTATGTGTTTTATTTTCATCCTGTTTATATACAATGTAAGGAAAGTGGTCTTGTCCTTGAAGTTGTGAGCAATCATCTGTTGCATCAGACTGATCAACTTGTGAAGATGTAATGCTCACACTTACTGGCACACTTTTGTTGGATTCTGTTGATAGAATCGGTTCCACACACTGCTCTGTCTTAATACTGGACTCCGTCTGTGTTTGGCAGTTTGTTTGATAGCTGTCTAGAATTACAGTCTGTTGTGATTCCATAAAAAGGCCGGGTAACTCTTGATAGTGCATGCCATTTTCTCCATCTGTACTTTGTTTTAATTCATACTGTCGATTTTCATGATCTCTTAGTTTTTGATCAGAATAAGCGATGGAAACGGTAGTAGTTTCTTCAGTTTCTACAGTCCTAGAGAACGCATTTGTGAATACCGTTTGCGACTGAACAATCTCCTTTGAGTCTACTGTTTTACCTTCAGAGTTATCTGGTATCGAGGACTTATTGGCTAGTGGATTTTGCAGAGCTTGATTACTTTTTTTCCCAGTATACATCTGCGATTCACTAACATCTGTTTTCCTATGTAAAATATTTGGTGTTGAGATTTTAAATCCTTCGTTTTCGTCAGTTTCTTCTAATAAGTAAGTCGGTTCTGTCCGTTGATTGAGTAAAAGGTATGAAGTGATTCGGACAGCTTTTAAATCCTCACTTACCTCATTTAGACTTACTTGTGATTCTTGAGCATATTTTTGGAAGGCATCGTTAAACTTTGAAGTTTGTTCTATCGATAAATCCTTTGATTCCTTCAAAGGGGTCCTTACAATTTTTTTTGAACCATTATCAACAAGTTCGTCATGTACAAGTTTACTGTTTGATAGTGTCAGCATCAATAATGATGGCGTCTTCTCTGCTATAAGTTGAGACTCAGTCTCAACATTACTATAATGTCTAATCCCTTTTTCACCAGAGTAGTTTGTAGTTTGTTGTAAATCAGTCTCCATAACTTCAGTCGTAAAGATTGTTGGGATTTCGATATTAACAACACTTTCGAATTCCAAATTATCAATCAGCTTTTTAGGGCTTGTGGACTGCAGATCTTTATCATAACGACATTCTTCATAAACGTCATAACTAAATTCTGGATAATTGAATCCTTCGGCATGTTCATTCATTCCTAGGTTGGGAGGAGGATTTGCAGCAGTAATGTCTTCATTATCAGCAATATCTAGTGATTTTTTTGAATAGTGGGAGTGTGATGATAATGGCGGGTTTGCATTATATAATAGTGGTAAGGTGGTTAATTCACCTGTAACGTCTTCTTTTGACTCAGTCGCTTTCGGTGTTTCAATACCTCTTGGCTTTTGTACAATTTCAACAGGACCACAAGTGTGAGACTCACTTTGTGGATGCACTTGTTGTTCAATGTTAGGTAAACTTTTGGAAGAATTAAACTTGGGAGTAACAATTAGATTTTCGATACTTTCATGTTTTAAGTTTAGTTTATTTAAATCATTTTCAAAAGTTGTGTTAAAACGCATCTGCTGTGATTGATAATGGACAAGATTTTGCAATGGTTGTGGGTAAACAAAAGAAGTTGAATCGTTAGCTGTAGTTGGTAGAATCTTGGTATGAAGATCTTCACCGGTTGATTTCTGAGTTTTCTCCAGTAATTCTTCTTCTTCACTATCAACTTTATTTCTGAATTTACCTCTTTCATTGTGTTTCGTTCTACAACTAATCGTTAAATCAAGTTTTACTGATGTTCTATGTCTCGTTTTTCTAGATGATCTACACTTTAAAAAATGTCCTGGTATCAATGTAGTCTCGATGACTGCACTGATTGATGGTTCAGATTTTGGACGACTTTTGTTATCAAAATTGGTTTTGTAAGACATCTTTTAACTAAAAATATTCTTGAAAGTAAGCAAATTTATCATTGCAAAATGCTGGCATCTGTTAAATAAATTGTTTAAAATAATAAATGAATAATCTTCGTTTCATCTATTACTCCAACTAATACACTATCCACGAATAAGAATGAAACTAGCTGCATAATTAGTCTTCCGACAATATCTAAACAGGCCAGTTATTGATCACATGGAAAAATCAATCTCCACTATTTTTAAATGTCTGCCATTGAATAAATCATCAAATGCTCGCTGATATCAAATGTCAAACGTGCATTACAAGTTCCTTGTTACAGAAAAGTAAAACTTAAATCTATACAAACTGTAGCACCGAATATATCATCTGCTTAAAGCTTATTTGTTTTTATGCACCAATGTTTAAATTGAATTCAGGCATGTAAGACAGCAGCCCACTTTTAAAATCACTTGGTTACGGTGAAAGAAATCTGATGATCACCTAACCAAATGTCTTACTATCTGTATTACCCGGTAGGATATTTTGGCATGAAAATGGAAAGAACAGTGATAATAAACAGGAATGTTTACTCACAACTTCCTAAGAATTAAAAAATTTAATCTTACCAAGGTCATTATTTAAAGGCGGAAAAAGATAAGTTTTTATCAGTACCTAGGCTCTCTATATGAATGCTTCTATGCTGTTTTATGGTCACATCTTGGTTCGATCAAGTAGCATCTTGCAGTGAGGCCATCCCTCAGTGGGAAATAAAACAGAAATAACAAAATTGTGCATCCCCACCTAACCCCACTGTTGCTTTGGAAAAATGTAAACCATTGGCTCTATGTCTTCATTCTGGCTGAGGTGTTGAAGAATTTGACTTTCAAAGTATTAACAAACAACCTTTCAAGGGTACCACTTTCTAATAAAGAATTCGAGGGTGCAACCCTGTTCAGCGAATCGAAAACACTCCTCCTGACGATGAATAGAAAGATCGTTTGTCTCCAATATGTTTGAAGGTGTTTCAGAAAATGAACTGGTGATAAGCACATATCCATGAGTTGAAATAAAACTCAATCTGCTCCTTAAGTTCCCACAAGTTTTGGAGAGCCTGTGAAGTACGATACCAGTCAATATTTCGGACGCTATTGACAACAGACTGATATCCTGACGATTATCATATACGTTACACCGACACTTTTTGAAGATGATTACACCAACTGCTCCATTTCAGAGTAATGGGAAACGCTCAGTCTTCCATGCCATTTCAAACGCTATAGTCAGTCCCCTGACCATACAGCCACCCTCATACTTGAAAGGACAAGTGGGTAGTTTTCCTGAGTAGGGTGCCTTGTGGAGTTTTAGCACCAATAGTTTCATTCGGATTTTGGCTTCATTATACTTGTTGACGTTAACTGAGGAGCACAAGAAAAGACAGTGAGGTCGATGTTTTTGGATAATTAAACCAACTAAACTACTTTTTAGAGTGCCGTATCCAGCGTTTTACATGTGTATGAAATTTAGTGACCGGTGGACCACCTAACTGACAAAATGTCTCAGAAACACCAGGGTTCCTTGTGTCGATGCCTCAGGTAAGCTGGAACAGTCACCCTTCATTGAGAGATACAGCTCCTATCTCAATCAAAGATTTTGAATGCCGGAGTTTACCATATACAAATTCTGCTTGATCTGTCACACAGTGAACTTACACATATTATTGTACTCGTTACCAGCCAAAATACACTGAAGGAGGTCAAGAAGTCGCAAGATGTTTTCAGAGATTCAGTGTTCTTTATGCCTACAAGTAGCTATCCTCGCCGTTTCTATTACGTCTTTCAAATGTACTTTCTTCAGGTTCTACAGCTAGTCTTTAGTTGAAGATTCTGATAACCAGTAAGAATCAAAGTGATCGCAGCTCACATTGAAGGGTGATCAAAATTCAGAAACGCGCTCAAGAAGTAGTGGTAGCTAGTTACAATATCATCTACTTTAATTTAGGATTTAGCGACAGTTGCAGGATGCCAGATAACATAACGCCTATTGCTGCACTGGAAGTTGGTGCTGGCTTGAAACAAGTTGTAATCCGCGTATAGTTGCAGAAAACGTTCTTTACCACCTGACTTGCAATCAACTAATCACCGTTGGTTACCTAAACTACCCTCCACTGAGCATAAACACATGACCTATGCATCCAAGTCCTCAGCTTACATTAAAATATTTGTGTAGAGCACCTGGTAGAGACAACTATTCAGCTGTTGGTGGTGAAAAAGATAAATCAATTGAGAAACATGCTAGAAAGTGCGCAAAGAGGAAATAAATACGACAGAAAAACGTGGATTAGAAAAGGGAGTATATGTGAATAAAGGTTAACCTGTATTTCTCACAATCTTCAAAATAATAAGTACTAAGTGCCTCGACGCCAATATGATAGACTCTGAGGCATGTCACTGAAACTGTTCATTAGTAGCAAGTGGAGAATCGCATGCAGGCTACTGAGGACCACACACACTGTCCAGAACATCATTTGGTGTTGTCTTTTGCTTTCCTCCAACTCAACTAGTTTCAGCTAGCATCTCAAATCGGAGTAGACAGTGGATCAGAGTGTTCTACACGTGTTGTGGCAGGCTCACTTGTTGCAGTCTCGCTTACTTACTGCATGACTTGCCTCCTTCTGATAGCAATCTACACCAAAACTCGACATCGCTCGCTCCGCCATGTCTTGTTCAAAATTTTCACAAGATCACTTGCATGTGCTCTATATCATGTGGGTTTTAATTCATTCATCTTAACAAACTCATTTATACTGACGAAAATGGAACGATATTCATAGCCTAACACCAGATTGCCGAATATGCAGGGACAAGTGGTACAAGTAGGAGTGCACACCCAAGACCCCAAAAGAGATTGAGCCCAGGATCTTCAGGTTCCGTAGGCAGCACTTTAGCACGAATTGAGCTGGCTGCAGAACCTGAAGGTCCTGGGCTCTGTCCCCAGTGCAGCTGCTGAGGAGTCTCACACCAGGACGAAACAGCTGTCCAGTGCTCCCAGGTTTCCAGTGATTTTCTCAATGATATCAATCCCTGGTGAATACCAATCTGGAATCAACAAACAAATCCCCATGAACCTCCAAATTGAACTGCCATATATACTACTTATATTCGTTGTGATCAGCAACTCACTCCACTACAAATAAGTGACTACCTCGAGATGGAATCTTAACAGAAGTAGGAATAGAGCTAAGAAGAGCCAGATCATGATGTGACTTTATCCTATGAAGTTTCTTATTCTTTGTCTGAGCCATCTACATGTGCATAAGCTACCTATCTATGGTACTCTGAAGCTGGAAATCAGCTATTGCAGACTAAGTGAAAAGTTCAAAATCCTTCATAATGACGCAGATGCATACACTGTTTGTCATCCTTCAATTTTGAACATTTCGGTCATTTCTTATCTACTTATGATTCCTCTCATCTCATGGACTTTCACTTTCTTTCATGTCATTCGTCTTACATTCATCTTTTCTTTGCTTGCATGGAAACTTGAACTGATGTACTTTTGTAGGAGGTTCTACGGCTACTTGTTTGTCTATTTATCTTTTCCGTCCTCCTTCATATGATTCACTAAGATGTTCTTGTTCTCCGAATTGTCTGTAAATCAGTTTATCCATGTACAGTTACATGTCAATATTAGGCTATACAGTTAGTTGACAGAACTGACTGAATTCTCACAGCTTGGTATTTACCATAGACTGACATCAGTTGGTGAAACCCTGGAAACCTGGCGGCACTGGATAGCTTTTTTATCCTAGTATGGGACTCCTCAGCAGTGTGTACCCATGATCCTGCCAGAGATAGAACCACCGGCGGAGTCATGGGTGTGCACTGCTGAGGAGTCTCATACCAGGACGAAACGGTTGTCAATCTCTCTGTGTCTGATGTCAGTCCTTGACGAATCCCAACCAGAAATCAATAAAATCCCCACAATCTTCCAAATTGAATTCTCTCAGCCAGTTTTGCGGAACCAACTACAAGTCAAAAGGTAGTTTCTTTCTGAAGATGTGCTATCAATACGATCAATAATGCTAGTTTTCATTCTTCACACTGTCAGGACTGAACCACATGATAAAATTGTCCTGTAAAATGATAGGGTTAGACAAAGACACTTGGACAGCCAATTACCACAAAGCACACGAAGCTGTTGGTGATCTTTCAAAATTCACTTTTAGGTAAAGGTACAAAATGTGTAACCAAACGTAAATTATGTTTTCAGTTTTCAAAATAATCAACTCCATATTGTTTTAACCATTCTAACTTATTTCTGAAGTTTGTGGTGATGATGTTGTCTAGAATGACCATAAAAATTCACGATCAAACCATCCATCTCAGAGAACACATCATAAAAATCATCCTTTTGAACTACAAATATTCTCCATCCTCTCATGTTAACTTGATGTTGGTGAAGTTTACTTGCAAACTTAAAATTGGTCTCAGCTTATTATACTTGTTTTACCACTTGACTGTTTCAGAAGTTGTGCTGTGAAATATTTTCACAGCTAAGTTCTTTGTCAGTATGAAAACACCTCTCATTAAAAACTGATATCAATCAAGTAACCACTGGAAGCTATAGAGAATCGAACACTCGTTTCATCCTAGATAAGTATCATCAACACCGTTAATTTCTTTCGAGAATGAACCTTCGGGTTTCCTAACAAACTGGTGTCATCATAATCTTTTTCTAACTACATCCTATCTATTATCCAGTATCACCATCCTGCAAGTTCGACTCTGATAATTTGTTCCTACCAATGAATCAAGCGACTCCATAACTCACCATCTTCAACAAGAACTTCAAGAATGAGATCTATAAAAGGCATTATAAAAAAGGCAAGTTTACCAGTTCAGCAAAATTTCTGAAAGGATCTTCAAATAATTTTGAAAATTTAAGAAATCTTAGAGGAGTAACATGAAATTCCAGTTTCTGCTTTAAGCATAGAGGTATACTGTTGATCACTCAGACTTATGAGAAAGCAGACAAATTTGGATGTGATAAATATTCAGGATTTTAAGTGACTGACATCATATTTAAGATCCTAGACTGAGTGTTACTCAGTAACTAACTGGAACTTGAAGATATCAAATCTGAAAAAACTAAGGAGGGAATCAGGCTTCAATGAAGATGTGTTGCTCAGAAATACATTGTTGGATAGATTCTATAACATAGACATGGTTACTGCATCACAAAGCTCAATATATTTGTAGACTTCATTACATCATTCCAGA